AAACACACTGCAATTGCAACCTCTTTATCACCATAAGGAGCATTAATCCAATACAAAACACTGTTGATAAATACTGGATGCCTCTGCCAGCTGTCTGTTCTACAACGGCACATTCTTAAAAAGGAGTACATCTGTAGTATGAAATGCTGCAGGCAGATAGTATGAGGAATTATCAATTGTGTGTTTGGATACTTTCTGCCCTCTTGTGGTGGTACTTTGTAGAATGAGGCACATTTCACATCAGCTCATCAGTAAGAAAATCCAAATGACCAGATATTGAATTATCTGCAATAACCATAAATATGAATATAAAGTTATATAGCAAATGTATTTATGTATTATATTTATTTAAAACAAATAATATGATGTCGATAATACAAAGGAAAAAAATCTTTGTATATCATGTTTTTCCATTACATACTATGCAGGCATATATATATATTAATGTGCACCTTATTGATAAGTGTACAGTAATTCAATGTTTATGTTCTGTTTTTGTTAAATGTGTATGCCACCTCAATTTGTAAAATAATATAAAAGATGTTTAATAGAGACATCAAAGTGAACGCACAAGCAGAATAGATTAACATCATTTAGAATTGACTGCATGGTAAAGTAACACAGATCCTCTCTGACTCTGAGCCAGATTACACAAAGAGTGAATCTGTTAACAAATGCCCAGCAAAAGGTCAGCATGGTATTGAATTTTTTCAAATATTTTTCAAAATACCCCCTGGCATTGCAAATATTTTTGACCAGTGCGTAATACTTTGGGGAAGGATGAATTCCCTCTCTCTTACACACATGCACGCAGATAGCACTGCACAATGCCTGCCAATCTGCACTGAGAAACATCGCTCTGGGTTATTCATCGATTGACCATTCAAATCCCAACATATGCTGCTCTGCTTCTATTCCACTGTGTTCTCAGAAATGGACTATTTCCTAATTCTTCCACAAGGCTTCCTACCCTGTTCAGGAGTCACTCGCACACCATGTAAATGAGAAGAAAAAAGTAGGCAGGAATGTAAATTGATCTAATGCGTGTGTAAATGTGCATGTGCACATGCACACGTGTATTTGTGTGTGCCCCTGTAAACATTTGGACCTATTTTTCAGAAAAATGCAAGGACAATATATCATCCAAGTTTTGCTCTTCAACCCTAAAATGAATTACCTATGATATCTATCACATCATGCTGTTTCGTTGATTCTCTCAAATACATCTTATGTCGTGAATGATAGCAATCACAGGAAAGTGAATTTGAGAGTTTGTGTCCACTTTTACAATAATATTCACCCCAAGTGCTGCACTGTCAAACATCTCAGCTTCACTTTACTTTTCATGTCTTTCTTGCTTTAGATTCCAAAATGTTTTCCTCTCAGAGACCCCCTCCCGGTGTTACCCCTGTCGTTTTCCTTTTCTTATCCATCCTTTTGATCACCTAAAACATCAGTCCATCACCACCAGACGCTGTGGTTTATGTCTCCCTGCTGTCCACAGCTCACTGTCTGCCTTCCAGTGAGAGCTCCTCCCTGCTGAGCCGCTGCCCATTTGCCAAACTCAAGTGTTTGTGGGAGAAGTGAGCAGGTTTTACATGGAGGACTGCCTTAATGTTGTTCAGTTGGTGGGCAGCCACACAGGGTGCTGCACTTCAGATTCACTGTTTGTTCATCTGTGCAGGGCCATTCCTCTCTCTCTCTCTCTCTCTCTCTCTCTCTCTCTATCTCTCTCTCTCTCTCTCTCTCTCTCTCCTCTCTCTCTCTCTCCTCTCTCTCTCTCTCTCTCTCTCTAAATGCCTAATATATTGTCCTTCATTGTGTGAACCATACGAGGAGTATTTAGTGTAAATACTTGGCTCACTACGATGTTACTATTTTGTCTGGGCAGTAGAGGTATGCCTTTCAACTGGGGATTAGGAGGGGACGTGGCCCCTATAGGGCTCCCTCAGAGCAAAGCCAGTCCTCCCATGTTAATTTCTCAAGGTCAAGAAGAACCTCTGCAATGTTTCAGCTTTGAAGGTGGAGGGAGAAAAGAGAGCACACTGATTCAATACCACTACATTTATCTGTTTGCTAAGATCAAAGAGGCCAGTTACAGAAATGTTTCAGGCCCAACTACAACAAATAGAAATGTCTGCTTTAAGTGAGTTCATAAAGAACTTTGCGAATAAATGACACTTTTGCCTTTTATATAATGAAAGCAGTAACTCATTTTAAAGAAAAAACAAGCTGATCTGCAATTTTACTGAAACCTTGTTCCACTCATGTCCTTGTTGGCTCAATCCCTGCAGGAATAAGCATTAATATGATCATTCATCATTCACTGTCTTTAACACTTATTTTACAAGCGGCGCTGTCTGGGTTCTAATTGAGCTACTTTACATTGTAACAAGGCAACAAAATGCACCGGATTAAAGCAGACCCTGTTCCCTTATGTATTTAAAAATAGGGCTTTAGAAAAAGCTACATTGCGTGCGTCCCGCCTTTTGAGATTTAATGACTATCCTGTGACTCCACAGAGAATTAGTGCCAGTAATTGATTATTAAAACTTGAAATTGCAAACTACATCCATTATTTGACGAGTGCATGTGTTATCCTTGTAATTAACAAAGCTTGGCAGTTACCGTTTGCCAGTTACGTGACCCCCAGAAAAATTTATCAGAGGTTAGAAAGGCGATTTATAGAGCAAGCACTGTCTGGGCAATTATCTGAGCCATAATACATTACTAAAGATGCTCAATACACCAAGAAAATCCCCCTTCACCACAGCATAGCCACGGTATCGAAAATATCACCTTTTGTGAAAAGATAAAAAAGGCATCAATTGTATGGCACCTTTGTATTTGGTTTACATCAAATGTTTCTCTTTTATTAAAAACCCATCATCTACATCAAATTGACACCTAGTTATAGAGGTTATTTTTTTAACCTTTTTCCATTTGTCAATTCATCATTTTGAGCATCATATACAGAAACATCTGTATGGCATTGAAAAATATCTGTGTACAACATATATGAAATAACTGAACACATTGAATAACTTTTTCACATAATGCATCCATGGTACAAACAGAAAAGAAGAAATATAGAAACATAGCATTATTTGGGCCAAGAGGTAAAAACATGGTGTGCTTCTGAAAAATGTATTGCTGTTCCTGTGTTTTCTTACCAATAATTAGTTTTTTCATACAAATACACATTGTACATAAACACTTTCCTTAATCGTTACTCTAAAGGTACATCATGAACAGTTAATGGATTATTCCTGCCGAAAGCTTTTGATTTGTTTTGCTCTTAGATTAATCAGTGTCTAAAACGATTTTTTAATTTTATTTGTATGACCTAACATAGACATACTATTAAGTAAATATGTTTCGGAACTATGTGTAAAATAATTAAAACATATACAAATAATTTACATATTTACAAATGTTTTTATTCTCCAGTTTATCTTTGTTTCAATCCACATGATTTGCTTTTGGCTTTGGATACCCCTGATGGGAGAGCCCTTTGCAAAGGAACAGTTTAAGCCTCTAACCCTCACTATAGCGCATCCCCTAAACAAAACTGGCCTCATTTCCTCATACACTGCCTTGACTCATACCCAGATAATGCCCTTTCTTGTGGATCAAGAGCAGAGCAAACAGCAAGGTCTTAAGTACATTGGAGATAATCAGTAATTGGCTGAAGACAGCGCTGCCAGATAATTGAATACAGACTAGGGGAATAAAACAAGAGGGGCATTTAAGAGCAAAGTGAAGTTGACAACTCTGAAGTGTGAAACCTGAAGTCATAAGAGTGAGAGTGCAGGCAGGAGTAAATCCAGGGTAGCTCTGAGAAGTGTTAGGAACAGTGGTGGTTGTCCATGAGGGCCAGAGACAGAGCGGAGAGAGGCTCTTTATTTACTGGGAGAAATGCTGTATCCACAGGCCGTTTGGGCAGGATGGAGCTGGATGAATTCATTAAAGGAAGCGCAGTCTCTCCCAGCTGCCATCTCTCCCCCTGCAGCCAGACTCCGATCAATGGCAGGAATACATCCAAAACAACATTTAGCACAAGACCTCGGAAGCAGGGGTGCATTTAAGACTTCTCTGTGTGCGCACATCTCCCCTGGATGTGAGCACTGTTTAAAAATGTGCTATTGAAGTAGAGCAGGGGAGGTATAGGGGCAATGTGTTTGTATCACAACACAGAAGACTGGTTAACATGAATGCGTCAAGACAAGGCACTCTGCTGTTTACTGTTGTGGAGGTACCAATCATAGCCATTACTATTCTTTTCATCATATTCTACAACGCCTTGAGAGTTAGTTGTAAATAAAACGTAGATCAGCTTCAATGCATTACTTACTTACTCACTACTGCTATATGTATCATTTATTTCCCCCAGATAAGGCTTTGCATTAATGTACAATGTATATTAAGACCATTTCTAAGTCACTTTTAAAGTTAGAACCTACATTGCATCTTTGACACATTTGATATCTATTATGTAATTTAAATTGCACTAAAAAAGACACATGATTTAATACCTAAACCTGGACAAGCCAAAGCAAAATGCTTGTAGTACCATCTAGTGGTAGTACAACCTCTATACATAAGCTGCCCAAAGAATTCAGTAAATCAAACTAGACAATGTTAGGCTAATGCGCCCCATACAAGCTATATAGTGCAACTCAATTTAACTATGTGCTGGATCTCATTAGAGAATCATGACTTATGTATTCACTATACAAATCTCTTTTAGCAGTAAAGTGCCCCACTGTGTGCTGATGAGGGAGCTAAGGTGGACTTTTCGTTTTATAGTGAGATTTAGTATCTGTCATTGCATTTTTATCATAACCCTGTATGGCCCATTTACCATACAATGTATACTTTTTTGCTTCAGTGTCCCAGATCAGAGTTTACCGTGCTGGACAACATACAGTAACGTGATTTTAACATTCACTATGTGTACATTGTATATTTTCCTAAAATAGAAAAATGAATGATAGCAATAACATCTTACAAACAGACTTTGTTTATATATATAAAAATATGCAGTCCATAGTATTTATTGTTCAATGCAATGTTGTACAGCTATAAAATAATTAAACTAACATTAGATGGTGTTTCAACCATGTCACTGATTTAAAATACCTTGTTATTAAAAGCTGATGCGTTAATGGCAGTGTCCACAGCAGTGGGAATAACACCAACAACCAAGCCAAGTATTTCAAAATGCATACCTGAATTCAAAATCAGTCTTCTTAACGGCTTTATCTAAAACTGGTGAAATAAATGTCACTCCTCTCACTCTAGAACAAGCTCGCAATTAAAGTCATGTAAAACAAACATTTCATTTAATCACAAACATTTCAAATGAATGTACAGTGCAGTGAGGTTGTGTGCTATGTCTCTCCACCTGTACATCACGTCTCCTCTCCCCTCTACAGCAGTATCGATCCCACTCACTGGGCATGCACAGGGGCACTTCCTGAGAGGTCATTTTAGCCCTCATATAGAAAACAACAGCAATTTATTTTACAAAACAAATACCTGAATACTTAAAAATACAATGACAAAGAAAATAAAGATAGCTTGTTTTGCTCAAATTTAAGAGGACAGAGGTGTTGTGTATGACAATTTCTTGCATGATATAATTTCAAATAAAAATGTATCACATGCCCTACAATGCAGAGTACAGGAAGTCATGTTTGGACCATGGATTTACCACCATCCATTAGCACATTATGGGGCAAAGACTTCAGGGTAGAATATGCAAATCACCAGCACATGTGGTCAGTTATTATGGTCTGTTCTTAAATGCAGCTTTCAAAGCAAAGAAGGAGGGCCCATGTAGCAGACTATGGATGTCAATGATAGTGGATTATAACAGTGGTTTCAGTTAGTATGGCTGTATGTCTTTCTTCTTCAAGGCACAAGAACACTGGGAGTGTTTGTCTGGAAAGGCCCTGGAGTTAAGGTGCATCTGAGCCCTCGGGGGTCTCGTGGGTCCCTTGTTCACAGGGCGATACGGGCACAGTGGTGTTTGAGCTTGCAGGGCAACACCCCTCTGTTTAGCTGGTAAAATTCCACCAACTGGATCAAGTCGGTGAAGCGTGTTTGATCGTCATCCAGACTGTAGAATAACTCCCCATCATCGTCCACCTGAAGGGGACGCACACACAAACATGCTTACATTTCACATCCACACAAGGTTTTAGATGGACACATATTAGCCTAATAAATAGTGGACCCTCTATAATAGGGCTACATACACAACACAACATAATAACTCTCCTCTGATATTTATGAAACACAATTTAATCTTCCATTTGAAAAAAAGTTCAAAAATGTTTGTAGATACTGTCAATTATAGTTCTAAGAAGAAATTGGAAACAGCACGTCAGATTTTCTTTAAATATCTAAAATTCTAATAAAAAATAAAAAATGTTGACCAGTGTATATATACTGAATTCTGTATGAGGCTTACATTTGGAAGTTGGGTAAGGTATATAAAAAAATAACCTTGTATATAGGAACAGTGAATTGTACTCACGGGTATGATCTGAAAGTGTTTAATTTTCTGCATGTGGCACAGCGACAGTACAAAAGTCTTAGGGTTGCTTTGGCTGTCCCTCAGAATAAACATTCTGAAAACAAAAAGAAAGCTCTTCACTGTTGTATCAATTAAACCCTATTTAAAATATGTATCAAATCTATACAACATGTTGCGGCATTTACAAGTATTTGAAAAAGTAAGGACTACAAAGGAATATTGCTTATACTGCTCTTTTTGGAGATCTGCTTCCATTATCTTGCTTCCAGATGTAAATATGCTAATTCATACAAATGTCTTTTAAAATATTTGTGAAGACTCTACATTGACTATTTTGCAAATACACAACTGTATTGTTAAATATAATATATTTGTGAAATGTACAACAGGGGTATATATAAACAGTACTCCCAGTCCTGTCTTTCATAGAAGGGGATATTAAAATATAAAGATTGAGGTTGCACCAAATGCTGTAAGCCCAGTGGTCTAATTTCTCACAATAAACCTGATGTATTTAATTACATAATGAAAACAGAGAAAAAACTCCTTACCCATCGATGAGACCCTGCTGAGTGATTATACGCTGAGCCTCCTCCCTCGACAGTTTGCCGTGGAACCAGGGCTGACCCAAGTGGAGAGCTGAAGCACAAAAAAATGGATATACTTTGAACGATTCCTTTTTTAATTATCTATTTCACGTGTGTACAGATGACAAAAAGGAAAAGTGACCCACAGACCCATGTTTAACAAAGAGCTGTGTGATGTGGAGGGGCTCCCATGGCCGCTCAGACGGTGGCAGCTCTTCCTCTGAGGCAGAAATAACAGCCACAATATTAGTTGTAGTCCCGTTGATAGTTAATTTATCCTTTTTTCTAAAGACACAATCATCAACCCAACAGTATACGTTTTATGTTGCTAAGATATTGTGTATACTTTTTTATATCAAAAACACATTATGAATTCGTAATAACTCTTAGGTTCACCAAATGTAAAGATGAAATGTTTTCAATAGTGATTCACAGACTTACCCTCCATGACAGGCCTTCCTCCACCGCCACAGACATCGCCTCGGACGGGTTCTCGATCACACGGCTCTTTTGGCCAGAAAAGTCCATGGCCACCAGAGAATTCTCTGAGATGCTCCTCTGAAATTGCATGCACAATATACAATTTTGTATTATCTGATTGATGCTTGTTTAATTCAATCCTTATTAATGTTGCTATTTCTTTACTCATGATATAACAATGTTGTATTATTAAACTCAATACAATTTTATGGAGGGTTGATTTCCCTTTTATTCTCTAGCATGGAATCGCTTTGGCTCTCTTTTGGTATTGTATTGCCATCTAGTGTCTGAGTAACGTGACTCCATCTTCATCATTTCTAGATGATCCCAGACAGAAAAGAAGTCCATTGAAAAGGGATTAAAGTAGTTTTGAAAAGAATGACACATGGGCACATTTTAGCCCCTTAAGCTGCCATATAGTGAGTGGCTCACTGCACACACCCAAGAAATGTCTTCTTATCAGAATTACTGAGAAGCTTTTAAATGACCACATTTTTTCCTCTGCCACCTACTAAGCCTACAATTGAAATGAGTGTTTAATACAAAGTGACCAGTGCTTACTTTGAGGCTAGGCCATCCCTACCCATCGTATTCACTATGACCCATTTTCAACGATAGACATCTTATCAAGTAACACTTTATGAAACCATCATTTATAAAGGGTAAAATATAAGTTAGATCAGGAATTACTTAGTGTTTAACAAACATTGACATGGATAATAATAATATTGACAAATTATTAGTGATACTACAATGTATGACGTTTTATCATTAGATATCAAATCATGTGTTTATACTGTAAACTAGGTACTGAATCATAGCCGATAAGACAATTACTCTGATTACTTTAATAAACTATTTAAAATATGTTGAAATTATTATGAAGTATTAAGTATTTGTTAATGATGATCAAATAATGTGTAAACCTTTCAAAAGAAAATGTATAAACCATTTATAAACATTCTTTAGATATCTATGATGAGGTTGCAACAAATAATTATGACGGCCACCCAAATAATTAGTTTATAGATAAGATTTCACTAAACAATAGTTATTAACAATTTGTTAAGTCATTTAAAAGCAACACTATAATAATACAATAATTAATTACACATATCTGTGTCTATGGATGTCCCCACAAGTTTAACAAACAATTTTCTGAAAAGGTTTACAAATCATATAGTGATCATTAAAAAGTATATAATTAGGTATAAAGTGTAATGTAAGTATTAATGCAACAATAAACAAAGATTGCCTACATAACAGCAATATGAATTATTATTAGTACACATTATACATTGTCCTTTTTTTATCAAACTATAAACAAAAGATAAATTAACAATTCATTTACTCCTTATTAATAATAGTTACTATAAAGTGTTAATGATCGTATGAATCAGTTGTTTATCTAAATCTTTGCGTAGCCTCAGCAGCCTGCCCCGCATCTGGCAGATTCCCGTTCTCCCCTATCTTTGTGGCTAATCCTCCTGGTTGGTCACATATGACAGCAGAGAAGAGGTGATGAGTTGTTAAATCTGAGAGCAGCTGATCACTGTGTATTTTTAGAAAGTGGAGGGTTCACGAGCATGTCCAAAGGCCATAAATAGATTGTGTTCACTGCTGTGAAAATATTCCCAGTAGAGTCTGAGGCTATTCTGAGACACCAAACCCACATTAACACACTGAAGGTGCCTCATTTGTCCTATGCAATTATATTACTACATTGCTATGTGTTGGCTCTAACACATGTCTGACACATGGAAATTCCTTGTTTTGATATCCTGGGAGCTGTAGTACACGCTATAAAATAAAAACTGACCAAATACAACCATAAACATTTGTAAAGGCAAACATTTAAGCAGACCTTTACCTAAACAATATCCAATGTTCACTTTCCTTCTGAGTAAATATCAAACACCATTAGCTAATGTCAAAAGAGGTAAAAGTCTTTAGCATATATGTTGAGGGAATAGTTTGTGGGTTTTTCACCACGAGGGTCCCATTTATTTGGAAACTATCATTGGTTCATAAAAGTTGCCAAAATAATTCACAATATTATCACGATACCTTAAGCCATTTGAAAACTATAAAATAAAAATATTGCTATCAGTCAGATGGAACTTTAACGTTGTTTACAGTGTTTTTTTGGCAAATTAAATACACTCAGTTATGGGCAGAAATGTGTGAGAAAGAGACAGATCACAAAATGATAAATCATAAAAAGACTTTCAGCCTACCATTGGTGAAGCTTTTTGTTTCTGGTGTGGCTGGATAAAGTTCTGGTACAGCTCCATCCCATACTGTAACATAGAAAAATGTCAGGATTTTAAATTCCAACCCCAAATATATATATATATGTATCCCATTTTACCTTTAAAATAGGTTCAGTAGACCTGGAGTGTAATGATGAAAAGGGGCACATAGAAATAAATCACAGTCTGTTGCGCTTTACTGTTTTATTAATAGACCAGCAGGGGAGTTTCTAATGCACTGAAGTGCATCCAGCAGATATCTAGACAATGAACACATGCTGCTTCTATAAAGAGTAGGAGTGCTAATCCAGCATCACTCAATAGTTTCCCTCGCCCTGCTCCCAAAGCTAAATCTGATTCTAGCACTGACTCAGCATTCCTCCTCTAAGACTTCACCGGTTAGCGATCAGCAAGCCAACCTTTAACAAGCGCATGGCTGTGATCCAGCAGGTCCTGGTCTGCTCATCATCCGCACAGAGCAGCTTCAAGTCCCGGCCCGAACTACCCTTTGTAGACTGGAGAAAGAAGTTACAAGAAGACAAAAGAGGTCAGCACGCTAGTAATCAATACAAAACTTCAGCTCATTTTGTACAGTCTTTGGTATTTCGAGGAAGCGAAGGTACCTTGACACAGAAGGCGTAATCTGTAGGTGCTCCATGTCGTTTTTTGGCTGACAACACTGTGTAGACATCACTGTCACTGAAGTCGGCAATGAACTGGAGATGCCTCGGTTCCTGTAAAAGAAAGATAAGTCATCATAAAATAAGAGTCAGATATTTATCTCCACAACATGGAAATCTGATGTATGTGAGAGACACATGGTCTTTGTCTGGTTTGGTCTTTGTTTATGTCACATTCTTGCCTCTTTATGTAAAAAAACTAGGGCTGTCAAGTTAACGAGTTAATAATGCGTTAACGCAAAAAAAAATCAACGCCACTAATTATTTTAACGCGATTAACACATGTGTATTTTTTTTCCTCGGCCGCCCCGTAGTTTCAGAGCGCATCGAGTTTAAAATACCATCTACAAGCTGATGCTGACAGCTCCGCTCCTGCCGCCCGCTTGTGGCAGACCACACTTCCACGCTCACCGGCAGGCACCGACTGGCTGTTGGGAGGACCGGGAGGGTGTGTGTATGTGTGGCTCGAGCGAGCGAGAGAGAGACCTTACGTGCATTGTTGTTGTTAGCATCTGGTGCTAGCTAGCTGCGCTAACGGATATAAGGAGCTGTTTAAATAAAAACAGAGGAGCGCTCTATCCACACAACTGCGCCGAGCACTTGACTTTATGCAGGAAGCCAGACAGTGGGACATTGTACGACAAGTCAGCACACTCAGCACGGATAGTGCGCAACATGATTGCAGCGTCCAGGCAGCTCCCGTTCGAGCATATGCCTTGAGTTGCACATAGCTCCAACGATCCATCACACACACACACACACACACACACACACACACACACACACACACACACACACACACACACACACACACACACACACACACACACACACACACACACACACACACACACACACACACACACACACACACACACACACACACACACACACACACACACACACACACACACACACACACACACACACACACACACAGTATTGTATTATTGTATGAGAGAGGTTCCAGGTTGAATTGAGGCGAATATTTGTAATGTTCAGAGGTTGTTGTGTTTAATATTCATGAGAATATTTGTCATTGTTCAAATGATAATAAACATTAGCATAAAGCATATTTGTCCACTCATATGTTGATAAGAGTATTAAAAACTTGAAAAATATTCCTCTAAGGTACATTTAGAACAGATCAAAAATGTGCGATTAATTTGCGATTAATCGCGATTAACTATGGACAATCATGCGATTAAATATTTTAATCGACTGACAGCCCTAAAAAAAACACAAGAAAGTAATTTCCTTTTAGAAATGAATGGGGCATGGTCCTGTTTGAAATCTGTTAACAGGGAATAAATGCAATGTACAATACATTTGAATCAAACCCGATTTCCAGTCTATTCTTTTGGGTAAAAGGAATATAATAGCTTATTTAGGGCCCGAGGTGAAGCATTAACATTTAAACAGTGCATATATATCAATATATATGATACATAACAATGTTATCAGTCATTCTGGGTGTGGTTGGCCTATAAAAGCCATAACAGAGATAAGGGTACAATTAGACATATTGATAGGGGCTGTATTAAGACACTATCAACACACTCATTGTGCCAAAGATAAGTTACCAAGATGGGAAAAAAGCACAAAGATTGCCATTGTTCTGCTGTTCATGTGACGCACCAACTTCACTTCCTTATTTAAAGTAACGCCTCAGCCATGAGTGTCTGTACTGACTGAAAAGCAACGTGTCTGACCAAAGATGAATGATAAACCTGCGAGAGTTAAAGTGGGCGCCATACCAAAGCTTCCCTGCACCCGACAACAAAAGGTCTACTGTTGTAGGAAATGAAAGCAGTTGAGAAGTGGTTGTGTTGGCACGGCTGGTGCCTAGGTTTAAGCTTCACTTGTCAGCAGCTCTGAGAGTCCTGTTTCTGCCTGGATGATGTGCCAGCTAACCTACGGAAAATCAAGCTCAACCTGTTGCACTGCCCTCTCTCAGCACGAGTGAGATTTATACAGAAGATGAACTGGTGACCCCATAATCCATCAGAGGGCCAAGATGTACCTTCATATATAATAATTGTAATGGATGCCATGCATTTTTCATGTTGGATGTTAACGGTGTGAACTACGTGCATTTAGTTAAAGTAAGAATGGACCAAACGAATGCAGTTGAACATACTGGAAGTATCAAAATAGGATTGCATGCAACAGAATGGCTTTAATTGTCTGCAACAAGTTACACATGATGTCTGATTTTTATATTGCTTTGAATTTCACAACATGTAGAGAACATTCTGTAGATGAGTTATTTAGCTTTACTGACCTTGGAAGTTCCCTTATTGGAGAAATAAAGGCCCGACCTACGCAGGACAAAATAGAACTTCTTCCAAGATTTCCTGCTTTGCTCTTTGGCATGGAGGTGTCCATGTATCTCTGGACATGTGCTGGAGTTGAGAAAGGTCTGTGTTGGGTAAAGAAATATTTGTCCATACATGGGTGTGTACAGTATAATCTTAAGGTACACAGCACATTTAAACAATTGGCACTCAAAATCAAAGAAAGTGCAGAGTAAACAGAAAGAACTTACCTGTATAAGCTGAGAGTGATCCACCATGCCATTGGTTTCACTGGATATGGAGACCATGTGATCCGGGAAAAAGTCCTACCAATATGAGAGCAGTTATTACAGGGTGGTAGGAAATGTAGGTGGGTTAGTACAATAGAAAGGATATTTAAGGCAAAATGATGTGTATAAACTATTACAATACATACAGTTTACTCTCATCACAAACTCACCAGGGGTTTCCTGAAGAACTCGTATTTAGCATAATTCTTCCTAAAATACAGCCGGCAGTCTGTGTCCATTCCCCAGCCGGATAGCACCTCCATAACAGACTCATGGTCTTCAATGGTTCTCTCTAGTGAGACAAGTAGGAAATAAAATAAATATCGACTTCACGTGTTTCTCTCTTCTTCATTGATAAAAGACGGAGGCTGAATAGATTCAGCTGTAACACCAAACCAAAGTTAATGAAAAAACGTCTGCAAAATATTTCCTGACTAGAGTTGTGTTGCTTTACTTTGAGGCACAGAGTTTGATTATTAACTTCATACGAATGTTTAACAGCTGGATGAGAACGCGAGCAAATCAGTAGAACATGAAACTTAATTATTTCCCAGAATTTGAAATGATAAAAAAGAAATAAATCAAGAGAGCCATGTTAAGGAGCGTTGCACAACATCAGGGCGAATACCTCATCACACAACAAGTAACTATTCATGCTGTACTGTCAATGACTGATAATATAATTCTGAACAATTACAGCCCTGTTTTGTAGATGATTTAATTGAATAACACAATAAACATTTATTAATATGAACTCAATACCATGAAAACAATGTATCTTCAAATGCAATGTATTACATGGGTTCTTTATAAGGGGTATGCAAGATCAGGGGAACATTGTAAACCTACAAAGAAGCATTTGAGCCGTTTGTTTATCTGGACAAGTTAAACTAAGAATATGTAAATAAATATTTGTTTCACTTTAAATTATTAGGCAACAGAGAACAAATAAATTGATGACTAGAGAAAAACAGATGTATGAATTAGGTAAAGTGTGAAATAATGTGGAAATGCAGCTGAGAAATCTTTTGTATACAATCAGACCAGATCAGTGTTAATATACCATTGACTGATTGTTTCCTTTTTCACTCTTATTTTAAAAAGAACTACATTTGATGTCCTTCATACAACATATAGTTGAATGCAATGCTGATGTGCATCACACTATATGTTACATAAACGGGTAAAGGATTGATGAAAAATTCAGATTGTTCTTCAAAGCAAGCTATTTAAGACCTAAAAAGTAGTTTAAATGGTTGTATATTTGTAAAACAAACCTTTCAGTTGGGTATTCAGGCCATCCAAAAAATAAAAAAATAAATGGGCTTTGAACGTCCAAACGCACCTCCACACAAACAACCAACATTGCTCTAAGATTAACTGGTAATAAATTATGTTGATGATGTATAGTGAATAATGTGGGATTGCTAATCCTCATTATAATGGGCTATTAGTTTGTTTTGTTACATATTGAATCATTTATTTAAAAACATTTGAATCGAGATTTTTGAATGTCAATTACCATGGAAAAGAAAAAGCTTTGGATCATTAATTTCAGCGTTAGTTAAGCTGGTGATCCTTTAAGTGAAATAACCCGATCAGCAGCATCACATACAGCACAATGCTAGCAGGATGAAATATTATAAAAGTGAGAGAAAAGCTAAATACCAGAGACAGTAATTATCTTATCATGCATTGCACTACCTACTTTCTAATGCAAGGCGAATGGAGGATGACGGACAATGTTTTATGCAAGGAGATTTATAATTGATGCCTCAAGTGATAAAGACACAATCATAACCCCCCCTCATTATCTTCAGGATTTGATTCG